GAGCTGTTGCTAGAGCCGGAAACAGATGCCCAGCAAGAAAGACTCTGCTGTTTCTTTCCTCTCTGTTCTCTTCTCTTCCACATCTGCGGCCATTTCCAAATGGGTCCGACCCATCTAGGCTGCTTGAAAACAGGAATGCTCTCCTACAAATGGGGGTGGCCTGGTTCGTCACGGAACGCCACAGCGACCAGCCTCCAGCCACTCCAGAGCTCATTCTCATACATTCGGCAGTGTGGCCTTCAAATGATGTTACTGGTGTGGGGAAAAGGGTCCATCACTTATTGCCCCATTTTACAGAAGGGAAAGATGAACGAGGGGCTGTCCCTGCTCAAACAGGGCTTCCCAAGTCACAGAGCTGAGCGGAGTGATGCCGCCCAGAACAGAAATTGCCCTCCTCTGGGCCATAGCTCCTGGTTTTCTTTTTCTTTTTCATTTTTCTTTTAATGCCCTCCCACCCCCAGAAGAATCTCACAACTGCTAATCCCATCCCCTGCCCCTGGCAGTTACACACTACTGACAATCCTTTTCTTATAGTATTATGATAATTGTTCAAGGTCCACTTATTAGTGAGAACATGTGATACTCAGTTCTTTATTTCTGTGATAGATCACACAGTATTACAGTCCATCCAAGCTGCTGCAATTTTGTCCTTCTTTGCGGCTGCGTCGTAGTTCATCAAGTTATTTTTTTCATAGAGTGATTTGAGTTCCTCCGGGTATATTCCCAGTAGGGGGATTGTAATACCCAGCTTTCATTTTTCCTCTTACTCTGCATGCATTTATTGAGACACACTATGAGTAAGCACAGGCCCTTGCAAAGGACCTAGAAAAGAACAGAGCCCAGTCTCTAAAGCTGGAAGTTTATACTCTTGCAAGAAAAAGACATACACAAGCCTGGTGCAGGGGCTCATGCCTGCAATCCCAGTGCTTTGGGAGGCAGAGGCAAGAGGATTACCTGAGCCCATGGATTCAAGACCAGCCTGGGCACATGGCAAGACCTCATCTCTACAGTAAACCAAAAAAATTAGTTGGGCGTGGTAGCACGCACCTGTAGTTCCAGTTACTTGGAAGGCTGAGGTGGAAGGATCACCTGAAACCAACAGGTCGAGGCTGTGGTGGCCGTGAACGTGCCTCTACACTCCAGCCTGGGTGAAAGAATGATACTCTGACTCAAAAAAAAAAGAAAAAGACATATACATTGTTATAATATAAGCCAAAACACAGCCCTCACAGCAAGAGAAGCACAGATAAAAGTGCAAGAATTCAGACGTGGCCAGCACCGAAAGGTGGTACCTCCCGTCTCAAGCACAGATGCTCCTCGCCACACAATGGGGACGCATCCTGGTTAAGTCCATCGTAAGCTGAAAATATCCTAAGTGAAAAATGCCTGTAACACACCTAACCTGTTAAACATCCTCGATTAGCCACACCCACCTTAAAGGTGCTCAGAACCCTTGCATTAGCCTACAGCTGGGCAAAAGCATCTAACGCAAATCCTATTCCATAATAAAGTACTGAATATCTCATGTCATGTACTGAACACTGCACTGAAAGTGATCAGCAGAAGGGCTGCATGGGAACTCCGAGTACAGTTACTACGAATGCGTATCACTTTCACACCACTGCAAATTCCAAAAAATCGTAAGGCAAACTATCTTTAGTCAGGGCCATTTGCACTCCTTTGCAGTTATATAAGATACAAAGTATCTTCCTTCATTGAAACTAGGGGCCGGCCGGCTTGGTGGCTCAGCCTGTAATCCTGCGCTTTGGGAGGTGAGTGATTTGCCTGAGCCCGCGGGTTCAAGACCCGCCTGGGCAACTTGGCAAGACCTCATCTCTACAATAAATCAAAAAATTAGCCGGGTGTAGTAGCGCATGCCTGTATTTCCAGTTACTTGGAAGGCTGAGGCAGAAGGATCGCCGGAGCCCAGCAGGTCGAGGTTGCGGTGCCTGGGAGTGGCCACTGCACTCCAGTCTGGGCGACTGAGTGAGACTCCAACTCAAAAGGAAAAAAAAAAACTAGGGGCCACTTTTAATTCATCATATTGTCTACTTCAGTACCCACACAAAGAAAGGATAAAAGGAAGGACTGGCACATGAAGGGAAGAGTTGACGAGGGCTGCCTTGGGTCTCTCTGGCGTATTTTGTATGTTTCAACTAGGATCTTTAAAGGGGGAGTGGAGATTGGTGCAGAGCTTGAAGCACACATGGGCTCCCAAAAATCTCCTTGCATGGAAGCTTCTTGTCCTACGCCTCACTAATTAAAGATGTACTTGGAGCTGGGCTCGGTGGCTCAGCCTGTTATCCCGAGCCTTTGGGAGGCTGAGGTGAGTGGATTGCCTGAGCCCGCGGGCTCGAGACCCGCCTGGGGAGACCTCATCTCTACAATAAATCAAAAAATCAGTCGGGCGTGGTAGCGCATGCCTGCAATTCCGGCTCCTTGGAAGGCTGAGGCGGAAGGATTGCCGGAGCCCAGCAGGTCGAGGCTGCGGTGGCCGGGAGTGGCCACTGCACTCCAGTCTGGGCGACAGAATGAGACTCCAACTCAAAAAAAAAAAAGATGTACTTGGGATTAACAAACTCATGTCTTTAGAAGAGTCAGGCCTGGCACAGTGAGTCACCGTCATCAAACAGCTTTCCTCCAAAAAGACACCAATCCTCAGGTCAGTTCTGACTTTGGGAGAGAGTGAGAGGAGAAGAGAGAGCAGGAAAATGAGGCGGCAGAAAGCCCTTGGGGAAAACCTCAATTCATGACCTTCATGGAAAGTTTGGAACAACATGTCACCTACCATCAGAAGTCACCTGTTAGTGACTTTAGAAGTACCTCACAGTCCAGTGGAGCAAGAATGAGTTTTAAAAAGACACATTTTAAAGGAAGGAAAGAAAAATGTCCCCACCCGCAAGACATGTGGAAAAAATGAAATGTCTGAATGCAAAATAAGAGTGTTTTAGTGTCTTTTCAGGATAACTGTGATAATGTATATAACATGATAAACCACTTATGAGACCAATTCCAAGAAGATGCCACCACTGACCAACCTCTCCATGGGAGGCCAGCAGGGACATTTCCTCTCATATGCCCCGTCCCTGTTTCCCTTGGTCATCAGAGAAAGCCAAGCTTCCGGGTCACCATGTGTCACCTGGACACTTGTCCCCATCCAGCTCTGTACTTCCTTACCCTGACTCAAGCTCACAGCCACTCCAGACCCTCCATGGCCTTCCCTGTCCCTTACTTCACGCAGATCCATTTCAGGGTCACCTTCCCGCTGACATCCTACCGGATTACCTTGTCTGAAACACCCATGTCCCCTCTGTCCCCTAGCCTGCATTATGTTTCCCCTTAGCACTTCTGTTGAATATCTAGTTCTCTCTTCATCTGCTACATATTTCCCACATAAGAATGTAAATTCATCTAAGCGCCAGAAAAGAGTTTGCTTACTGCCGTATCCCAATGACCAACATGATGCCTGTATATGTTAAGTATAACAGGTATTAACTGAAGGAGTAAGTGAAAGGCACATAATACATTTTATATGCCCTTTAAAAAAAGGTAACACTTGTCAATTTCCTTATAGCACATGTAATGAATAAATAGGGACATTTCCACATACAATAACAAACATGATCCAACGATACAACACACCGCAGAGTTTTAAGAATACTGAAGTGGAAAGAGAATACAGGCACCCAGGGGACTCCAAAGATTCACACCTGACCAAGAGTGAATGTAGGACACAGTCATCTGCAAAATCTGCATCACAGTATAAAACAAGCTTTTCCTTTTGATCAGAGAAAAGTCTTATCTGAAAAATAACAAAGGAAGAAAACATCAGAATCCTAACCTGTTTCCTAACTACGATCTTAAAAATGCCTTTGAAAAAGTGATTTACCAGTCGGGCTCGGTGGCTCAGCCTGTAATCCTGCACCTTTGGGAGGCTGAGGTGAGTGGATTGCCTGAGCCTGCGGGGTTTGAGACCTGCCTAGGCAACTTGGCGAGACCTCATCTCTACAATAAATCAAAATGAGCTGGGTGTGGTAGCGCGCGCATGCAGTTCCAGCTACTCAGAAGGCTGAGGTGGAAGGATCACAGGAGCCCTGCAGGTCGAGGCTGCGGTGGCCGCACCCGGCCATTGCACTCCAGTCTGGGTGACGGAGTGAGACTCCAACTCAAAAAAAAAAGAAAAAGTGATTTACCTTAAGCAAACTGTATGCACTGAAAGGACACTGTACCTTTTTTAATCTATAAAGACAAAAAGATACTGACTGACTCCTCCCTCCATGACCTTTCTTAATAACCATTCCTTGATCTCAAGTCCTCAAATCTCCATGACCTGGCCTCCTTTGCACGGTCACTCCTCCATAGCTGTGCTCCCTGACTAACAGCTTTATTTCCTTATACCCCATTCCCTCTTAACCCTCAGTAATGAGGCAGCGATCCAGATGGACAGTCCTCCAATGCTGGCCCAGAGGAAAGCAATGTGCTCCCAACTGTCAACTCCCACGGCTGCTCCAGTCCCCTCTTCTCCTCCAGTCCCCTCTTCTCGCCTGAAGCTCCACACAGCTGAGCACAGATGAGCATCCCTGCCCTGGACACCCCTCCTTCTGACCTTTCTCACCCATGCTACCCTGGTTCCATACCCACTCTTTCTCACCATGTCCATGCAGGCATCAACCTAAGTTTTAGGCATCCGAGTTATAGACTCAACAAATATTTACTGAGCACCTACTATGTGCAAAAGAGTAGCATAGTCCCCAGAATAACACAATGAACAAGAAATATTTGGTTACTCCTTTCAAATCTAAGCAAGTACAAAGAAAAACGGTTATGTTTAAATCAGCAGCAAGACACTGTGACTTAGAAGCTAAAATGAGGTTTATTTCCCCCCTTAATTTCCTTAGAAAGCAGCATTTCAACATGAACAATTTGAGGCAAGAACATACCAGAGGCAAAATAATTTACAAGAAAAAAAATGAAATGGAAAGAAAAAAGACATGACTCACTGATGTAAACGCCAGCAGCTCCTCTTCAGTTAATTTATGCACTGGGTTATTCTTTTGAAAATTTGTGCTTTAAAATAAAAAAAAAAAAAAGAAGTTAATCCTAAAATGCATGTTACATCTAATAAAATAAAATTTTTAAAACAAAGCTGCTATATTTTACATATTTGAAAGCATGTATTTAAATATTATGATATTATATTCAAATATAGATATGAGTTTGCCAAAGTATAAAAAGTAATAAAATACTGACAAATAAAATGTGGCTGGTGTATTAAAGGTCAACATAATTTATCTTACTAGGAAAAAAGAAATTCAATCTGTACTACTCAGCAAAGATGATGAAAGAATTATTATAGCACCAATTCTTATTTATTAAGGTCATGCCAACAAAAACGAAGTTATTACTGCATATACCAGACAGAAAAAATTAAAATGTTGTCAAAGAGGCAGAACCATAGCGATTATTAGAGCCTGCTGATCTAACTAGCAGAATCATTTTATGAAACAATTTGGCACTATGTTATAAAGTTAACGTTCACATATCTTTGACTCAGTAACTCCATCGTAGGCATAGAACCCAGAAAAGTTCTTGAACGGGTGTATCAAGAATCACACACATAAATATCTCTAGTCATACTGTGTGTAACAGAAAAAATCTGGAAACAATCCTAATGTCCAAAAGAAAAATGGTAAGTTGCTATATATTCACCTAATGGAATGCTATATTGCAAAGTAAATTGCAGCCACATGTAAACAACATGAATCACAGAAACACAATAATGAGAGGAAATCACTTTTACTGGGGTGGTTTTTTATTTTCATTTTATTTTTCTGAGTTAGAGTCTCACTCTGTCGCCCAGACTGGAATGCAGTGGCACTCTCACGGTCAATGCAGCTTCGGCCCACTGGGCTCAGGAGATCCTTCCTCCTCAGCCTTCCAAGTAGCTGGAACTACAGGTGTGTGCCCACCACACATGGCTAATTTATTGATTTATTGTAGAGATGAGGTCTCACCATGTTGCTCAGGCTGGTCTCCAATGCATGGGCTCAGGCAATCCTCTCGTCTCAGCCTCCCAAAGAGCTGGGATTACAGGCATAAGCTACTGCCCAGCCACTTTTTATTAAGATACCACAAATCAGCCGGGCTCGGCGGCTCAGCCTGTAATCCCGCGCCTTTGGGAGGCTGAGGTGAGTGGATTGCCTGAGCCCGCGGGTTCGAGACCCGCCTGGGCAGCAAGACCTCATCTCTACAATAAATCAAAAAATCAGCCGAGCGTGGTAGCACATGCCTATAATTCCAGCTACTCGGAAGGCTGAGGAGGAAGGATCGCCGGAGCCCAGCAGGTCGAGGCTGCGGTGGCTGGGAGCGACCACTGCACTACAGTCTGGGCAACATAGTGAGACTCCAAC